AAAAAAAAAAAAAAAAAATCTGGGAAGGATCTGTGTCAAAACCTTCGTAGTGGTTATTCCTGAATGGTGGAATAACTGATTTTCATTTTCTTACTGGATATGTTTTTTTCCTAACTCTTTAAGAAAGGAAGATATTTCCTTAATGTTAGTGATGCCCCTCCTGGCATACCTAGTGTTTTTGGAGGAAGATTGGCCAGCCGGATGTGCCATTTTCTCTCTTCTCCCTCCCCTCCCCTCCCCCCCCACCCCCAGTTAAATAAAGATACGCCATTTTCTGATCATATGTTGTCAGATCAGCATGTTCACAGTAGGGCATTGCTGTCCGTGAGCTCGGGGTGCCACGCACCATGTTCACCTAAACGACAAGTTTTTATCTCTTTATTTTACTCTGTTGAAGTATACCATAAATTCACACTTGGCAGTAATGCCCTCTCTGGCCTGGGTTTTATTATCAGGAGGGAAGAATTAATCCTCTGATTATAGAGAGGAAAATCTTAAATTTCAAATTTAGTTAGAAACGGGGAGTTGGTCATTTAAGGTACATTTTGAAAGTAGTGTTTTGGGGTTTGTTTGTTTTTTTTAATTTGACAAAGATAATTAAATGTTTTATTCAGTAATCTTTAGAGTAAAACTTCTTGAATTCTCTTGTAGTGATAAGATAGCAAGAAAATAAAAGTACTGTAACAAATTACTAGTGAAAGTGCTGTAACAAAAACAAAATATCAGAAGAAGGTTGCCATTGAATAAATTAAAATTGAATTTTTAAAAAGCAGACAAATTCCAACAGTATACCTAAAACTCACTGTGCTAGATTTTTGTCCTGAGTAGAAATGTGTAAAAACAAAGCAGATTATGTAAAGCTAAACTGTATTTGGTATAAAGTGAGCTGGTAGGGAAGAGGTGGATTGTCATGTTCAGCCAGGACGATATTTGGGAAAATACTTTATTGCCAGAAAATACACTGTTTTTCCCCAGTATTACTGCTTAATGTCTTCTAGAGATGTCTCTATGGAGCCACCTGTATTTCATGTTTGTCTAAGGGCTCATTTAGTTTTAATAGGTTATTTTGTATGGTAAAAATCTCAGTACAAAGTGTTATGTGGTGTAGGGGTGCCTGGCTGGCTTATTTGGAAGAACATGGACTCTTGATCCGCAGGGTCATGAGTTCAAGCCCCCCACATCGGGGCAAGTAAAGTATTAAAAAGAAAAAAAATGACATAGTGTAAAGTAAAATTTGACCCATCACAGTCCTCTGTTTCCAAGATCTTCCAGAGGGATGACCAGTGACTGGTTTCTTTTATGTCCTTCCGGTGAGATTTCTCAGTCATATGTCAGCAAAAGGATATATGGGATTTTTTAAGTTTTATTTCATTTATTTTGAGAGAGAGAGAGAGTGTGTGCACTTGCATGCATGCACATGAGTCGAGGAGGGCACAGAGAGAGAGAGGGAGAATCCCAGGCAGGCTTCTTGCTCCCATGACCTGTGAGATCACAATCTGAGCCAAAATCCAAAGTCCAGCGCTTAACCGACCGAGCCACCCAGGCATTCCTATGGTATTTTGCACACTAACAATTGTATAGTGTCCACCTTGTTCTGTACCCTGCTTTTCCCATTTGACAGTGTGTCGTTAGAGATTGCTCTGTATTGGGACAAACCTCTGTTTCACTCTTTATAATAGGGGCATAAAATTACATTCTATGGATATGACATGTATCATTCTTTTTAGCTGTTGATAGTGTTTTCAGTCTTTGATGTTACAAATAATGCTGCAGTATCACTGGACACAGTTCTTAATTAAGGAGAATCCTTAATGAAGAGAGCATTTAAGCAGTTTTTAGATTTAATTTTTACAAATTTATTTGAGTGTTGTATTAATCTTAGGGTTGTCTTATGCATGCGATTAACAAGTATTTTATTCCGTGATGGTCGAACGGCTGCAGAGCTGTGTAAATTAATCTTGCATTCTTAAAGTGGCATTAAAGAGAAGGGTACGTGTGGGGTGTTCTGCTTCCTCTCAGAGTTTTGTACCTCTCGTGGCACAGCTCTTGGCTTTCCACGTGTCCTGGTGGGAGGACTGGTGATTTCTAGAGAAAAGAACGTCACTTCCCTATTTTTGTGGAAAGGGGCAGAGGGCCTCCCTGGGGAATTCCGTCATCATAAAGGGAGGTAAAGATGGGTTTGCGTGAATCTGTTAACCTTTTTTTTCCATGGAGCAGACGGGAGAAAGGAAGTGGGACAAGACGGAAGGAGGCTTAGGGTAGATTCATAAAAAGAACTGCTGTGCAGGATAGCAGTGATGGTAATGTGGAGACAAATGGTGCAGGGAAGGAGTTGTGAAAGATTTGTGGGTAATTTCCCAAGCTATAAAGGCTCCTAATGCAGTTGGGCGTGTTAAAGGGCAGCTCCGTGGCAGGGGCCAGCTGTCCTCTGTGGAAGGAAGGGCACTGAGCCCATTGGTTTGCTGTTAAGATCATGGAATTCTTAGAGATTTCATCCACTTCTGACCTGCATTCTTTTATGTGATTGGAAAAGTGTGTGACTAGTGTATACTTTAGTTTTTATGGACTATTCTATTTGACCCCTTGTGCTCTGTAATCCCCAAGACACCAATGTAAAACCTCATTTCCTATTTTCAGCATAACTAATATGCAGTAAATTATCATGAGTGTTCTAATGGCTGCTTCTTATAGTATGGGTTCACAGCCTCTCGAGTACTTTCTTTTTTTTTCATTTCTATATAAATGAAGATGGGTTCCAAAAGATACTCATTCTAACCAAGTTTCAGACAGATCTGTTTTGAAGGAATTATGAGATTCTGTGTTAGAATTAAGATAGTTTTCAGAAAAATATTCTCTCAGTTAAAACAGATTTGCCCCAAATCAGGAAAATGTGTCAGAAATTAACGAGGCAGTTTAATTGTGAAGCTCAGATGAACGCTGTTAGAATATTGTTCAGTTCCTGAATCTGTCAGAGCTCTGCAAAGCCATCAGTTTCATCCAGTTAAGAAAGCATACACACGTTCTACAGCCTTAAATTAAATAAATGCGGTGACAACATTTTCAAATAAAAGGTGACTCTACTTCTAGGTACTTACCCAAGGGAAATAAAAGCTTGTCTGCACAATAAGTAATAGCAGCTTTACTCATGATAGACAAAAACCAGAGATAGTGCAGATAACCATTAGTAGGAGAATGGATAACTACATTGTAATCCACTTTATACTACTCAGCTATAAAAAACAACAAATTAATGGGGTGTCTGGGTGGCTCGTGTGGTTAAGCATCTAACTCTTTTTTTATGTGTTTATTTTTGAAAGTTTATTTATTTTGAGAGAGAAAGAGAACCCTCATGTGTGCGAGCAGGGGAGGGGCAAAGAGAGAGGTCCACACAGGCTCTCTACCGGCAGCACAGAGTCCAGTGTGGGCCTTGATCTCCTGACCCGGGAGATCATGACCTGAGGCGAAACCAAGAGTCAGATGCTCAACCCTCTGAGCCACCCCGACACCCACGTCTGCCTCTTGATTTCAGCTCAGGTCATGATCCCAAAGCTGTGGGATTGAGTTGTGCGTCAGGCTCCGTGCTGAGCATGGAACCTGCTTGACATTCTCTTTCTCCCTCTGTCCCTCTCGCCCACTCTTGCGCACCCGCTCGCTTTCTCTCTCTCTCCTCTCAAAACATCAACAACAAATTATTGATACTTAAGTCAATATGAATGAATCTCAAAACATTCTGTGTTTCTGCGGCGCTTGGGTGGCTCAGTTGGTTAAGTGTTCAGCTGAAGTCATGATCTTGTGATTTGTGGGTTCAGGCTCTGCCTTGGGCTCTGTGCTGACAGCTCAGAGCCTGGAGCCTGCTTCCGATTCTGTGTCTGCCTCTCTCTCTGCATCTCTCTCTCTCTCTCTCTCTCTCTCAAAAATAAACATTAAAATTTTTTTTAAAAACCATTGTTTTTCTTCTCCTGCAGTGTGAAGTTCATGCTGTATGGTTCCATTTATGCCATTCTGTGCCAGGCAAAAACTACAAAA